TATATATTGTTAGTATACCTAACGTGTATAATAGCTATCGATGGTTTAGCGAGAGAGAGCGAGAGAGCACAGAGAGGGTCAAACGATGAGTAGAGAGGGAGACGAGGTCGATGGTCGATCGATGGTCAAACGAGGGTCAAACGAGGGCGATCGATGGTCGATTGAGGCGCAGAGAGGGAGACGAGGAAGACGAGGAAGACGAACAGGTTAGGGTTTCTTCTCTGTCCTCAATCTGTCTCTCTCTTCCCTCGACCTATCTCCCTCTTTCTCTCTTCCCTCGATTTGTCTCTGTCTCTGGCTCTCTCTCTTTCTCCTCTCCAACAGTTCTAGGGCTTCTTCAATCCACCCACCTGCGTGTCTGAATCGTGTCCTCGCGTGTCCAACCTCGTGTCCGACTCTGAAAAATTCTGAAAAAAGGGGGACACGTAGGGGAGAGTGTCGGACATGTGTCCATAGCGTGTCGTACGCGTGTCTGTGTCCGACATGTGTCCGACACTCATATGCAAGCCTCAGGGACGTGTCCGTGCTTCATAGGAGGGAACCATGCTCCCTTCTGGAAACATTTATTCACCAACTAGCCAATTTATATAATGCTGGATTTAGGTCTATGTTCCATCTTCTATTAGTACTACTAACAAACAATCATATCATATTTCGATCATCCTCGAAGCCATTAAGACGTCAGAACATAACAGGTTCCCATGAAATCAGTGCCAATCAATTAATACAAGCACCAAGCCTCCCAAATGAAAACAGTTCCACAATCTATAAGCAATATTCTCCAATATTTCCAAACAAATCATAATGTAACATTAATACACAATAGTATCAGAAACTTGTAGAATGCAAAGTTTTCTTCACTATATGGTGGTGACTTATATATTAGACATTTAAATAACGTCAAAGCCTATAATAAGAATAGTTTACAAAGCCTATCATGGATACCATTGGTAATAGAAATAACTAAAACACGTTTTCTTCCTTCTCCTCTTCACATAAGCACAATCCAAAGAAATAGACTAGCATTAAATTTTCTTTTTCAAAAACAAACTTCATTTCATGAATTCCAGCAAGTAAATATAAAGTAAGAAATTGGTCAGAAATTCAATGCAATAAATCAAAATTCATGAGTTTCTTACTGCAGAATGCAATCAATCAAAAACAAAGTTCACCTCAAACTTGCATTATCTAAGACACATATAAAAAATCCACATTATCAAGCTGAACTTAAGATACAATAAACATTTTAGCAGGTTACAGGGGAGGAGATAATGGTGTTCAAGTAGATACATTAAAGTCAAGGACGATAATTATGGAACTATAACTGGCAGAGAAATGATTGGGTTAGTGTCAGAGAGATATATGGAAATGACAAAAGGCTTAACATCAAGAGGATTTGGGGTTTAGTAGAAACCATGATTCCTGATGGACTGCAAAGGAGAGTTGGGATTCGACTAAGACATAATTCATCACATTCTGATCCCTTATCCACAGTGAAGCAATAAAACATCCTCTTTAACAAAAAAATGAGGACTATAATTAGTTGCATTGGTCTCATTGTCTCAATGCCAGAAATGAATACAATTGATGAAAATTCAATAGTAGCATTAACCAAAGCCAACACAAGGAAAAATGAACTGAGAACGCCAAATGATATCAAAGAAAAACTGTGAGAGAGAGAGAGAGAGAGAGAGAGAGAGAGAGAGAGAGAAAAAAGGGCGGGATGGCTTACTTCGATGGGGCATAGTTGGTAGAGCTTGGATGCCATAAATTTGGGGCCAAAGAACACAGATGCTAGGGGCACTTCAGAAGTTCCACAGGATTCAAACTTGGTGTCCAGAGAGAGAGAGAGAGAGAGAGAGAGAGAGAGAGAAAAGGGGGGGATGGCTTACTTGGATGGGGCATAGTTGGTAGAGTTTGGATGCCATAAATTTGGGGCCAAAGAACATAGATGTTAGGGGCACTTCAGAAGTTCCACAGGATTCAAAATTGGTGTCCAACAATGATTCTGGGGTTTTCCCCTTAAGGCACTGTAGCATAAAGAAAATGGAAAATTTTTAAATTAGTGTATAAGCTCAAAAATAATTATAGTGATAAATTTTCGGGAATTTTTTTTTAAGATTCTTAATATTAAGATTTTATAAAATAAATGACATGCAATATTTTCATAGTAGTTGGGGTCCCTCAACATTTTTTCAAAAAAATTTTGATCTAGAGAAATTTTAAAATACAAAAATTTTATCTGTGTTTTGAAATTTCTTTAGTTTGCTTAATTCCTTTAATTTTTTCTGTATTTTAAAATTTCTCTGATTTACTCACAAATTTATCTGTGTTTTGACCAATTTTCTTTTGTTTGCTTACAATTTTCTCTATATTTTGACTAAATCAGAGAAAATTGAACTATAAAATTGAACAGAGATAAATTGGCCAGAACCAGTCATGGTGATGATGATATATAACACTAGATCGATCACCCAAGTCAGCAACAACAACAATCAATTTATAAATCCAAAAGATAAAATTCACAACAATCTATTTATGAATCACAACTCATGCAATTGAAGGCACTGGTATTATGTACACTGATACATATTTATGCCCAATACATACAAATAAGCATACATACACACACACACACATATATATATATATAATATCAAATGAATCATATAAACGAATTAATGACCAAATAAGAGAGAAATTGAAATATAAACTAATAAACGACGGAGATCAATAGCGATTAACAATCGGAGGATCTGTCCACCGCTGCCCACCGCCACAATTTCCGATCAGAGAAGAGCAAGAGGTTTGGTGTGAAAATAAAAAACAGAGGTGGTAGTGGTAGCGACAGCAGTGGTAGTCGTAGCAGTCACGATGGCGGAGGAGGCATCAGCGTGGGAGGCGGAGGAAGAGTAGGCTACCACAGGAGAAACGAAGATAAAGAGGAGAGAGGAGAGAGGAAAAGAGTGTGTGTGAGATATGTAAGTGTGAATTAGAGACCTTAGGCTACATATATATATATATATATATATATTGTATACCTCTCCCATTACTAAAAGTTAGAAATTGATGTTAACTTAAATATTCTTAAATTTTATCAATATCAATAATTAAATTATAAATATTTTCATATATATACATGTGCGGGGAAATCCCACATCGGTCTGTGAGGGACTATTTTCCCACCTTATAAGCAGACTGCCTCCTCTTATCTTGTATAGGCCTTTTCTCCTAGTGAGGGAGGAACAAAACCGTGCGGTCAGAATGCCAAAGCGGGCAATATGTGCAAGGCACGGGGACCGGTGGCTTTATTCGGCGCGCTGGCTCCGGTCACCCCGGAGGGAGTTCCCACAGACGCCGCCAAATAAAGTCACCGGTCCCCGTGCCTTGCACATATTGTCCGTTTTGACATTCCGACCGCACGGTTTTATTCCTCCCCACTGGGGGAAAAGGCCTATAAGAGGAGTCAGCTTGCTTATAAGGTGGGAAAGTAGTCCCTCACAGATCGATGTAAAATTTCTCCGCACAATATATATATAATAATAATAATTTTCTGCAACTACCACCTTCAAGTAATTTCTTCAAAGAAAATTAAGCAAGCAAACAAACAATTCAAAAAGTTCCTCGTTTAACAGAGTTTTTAGAGGAAAAAATAGTCGGATGCATATCAGTGACCACACGGTGAGACTTACAGTAATTATTGTGGATGCAGTAATACCACTTTTTGTTGGACAATCTTCACCGTATTTAAAAGGATTTAATTCTGTTGTGTACAAAACAACAACAAGAATAAAAGAAATAGAGAAAAGGAGAGAATATGTTTGATTACAAAAATCAAACTCGAAATAAAAATAAATAAATAAAAAAAACCTTAAGGAATTTCCACCAAAACTCCATTTCCATGGAGCACACTTTGGCTTCAATTTCCCATTCACTCGGTAATGGTTTTGAGCAACCAAATATACCACGTGAATCATAACGCGGCATAGAACGCGTTACCACTTTGACCCGAGTAAATCGACACTCGGGGCCCACCTAAAAAATAGACCAAACTTGAGGAAAAATAACCATTTCCAACACTTTTAGCACTTTTTTTTATACAATTTTATGGGTTAACACTGTATAAGAGATATATACACATAATGATGAGACGTATAATATTAATAATATGTTGACCCATAAAAATGATATATATCATCTCTAATTATATTTCTAATAAGGTGGTAAACCCTTTTGAAAGTAAAAGGAAAAATTTGAAGAAAATTGATTGATTAGTATTATTTATCAGCTCATTAAAAATATAATTGAAAATGATAAATAAGATAATGGGACATTTCTTAAAATATTATAATGGGACATTTCTTAAAATATTATAAGTGACATTACTCTTGTGAATGTTTGACTCATATCTTAAACCAAATTAGATTTAAAAAACATGATAAATGTAAATTTTGATACATAACATCTAGAGTTTTTTAAAATTTTTAAAAAATATTTACAATTATTAGATTATATTGGAAGATTCATCTATGTTGAAATTTTCAAAGTACTGTGATCGCTTCCCTTCCTCAACTGCGAACCAATAATTAACAAATTAGCAAGACGTGCCAAAATAATAATAATAATAATTGAAGACTCAAGACAAACAATTTTTTAATTTCAATAATTACATAAAATTATTAGATGTTTTTATAATAATACTACACTAGTTTAGCCTATGACCTCTTAAAGCCCGCGAATTAGGAGAAAAGCCTGCGACCTTTGCTCATAAAATGCGATGATGGAAGATTCACGGTAACTACGGTATACTTCTTAAGATTTATTTAAATATAAATTATTCTTTTATAATTTTAAAATGTGTATCTTGCATCTTTAAGTTTTTAATCACATAACAATTAACTTATTTTATTAATAAATTATCAAATCAATTAATAATTTTAATAATGTCAAAAATATATTTCAATTAACAATTCAAGTAATTTTATTATTGTACTGGAAAGTAATTAGAAATTTTATTTTTTCTGTTAATTCTGTTAAATAAAATTTTTTAACAATAGGATATTTATAATTTTTAGAACTATAAGAGACTTTAAGAAATAAATTTTTAATTTGCCCTACTATCAATAATTATCAAATTAAAACACTAGATATATTTCTTCCAACAATAGTAAAAGGGAAATACCATTTCAATTAGAGAAAATATTGACGTACTAATGATACTTAAAAAGTCAAACTCATAAGTTTTTTTCATAGAATTGATATTTATTTTTTAGATAAATTATAAATATATTTCTTGAAATTTGTTTAAAATACGAATTGTTTCTTATGATTCTGTAAATTACATTCCGCCCATTCAAATTTCTAATCTCATAATAAATAACTCATTTTATTAATAAATCATTGAATCAATTAACAGTTATTAATAATGCCATAAATATATTTTAATTAACAATTCTGATAATTTTAATATTATATACCAGAAATGTTAAGAATTTTATTTATTTATTTATTTTGTTAATTTGATTAAGTGAAAATTCTGATAAACAGATATTTATAATTTTCAAACTTACAGTATATAATTCGTATTTTAAATAAATCTTAAAGTGTGTATTTATAAGAATAAACTATTAATAATTTATAATAGTTGGATTTAATTCCTATTATGTCCTATTGAAAATAGTCATAGAAAAATTGTCGTTAAAAATATTTTTTTGTGAGGATTTTTTTTCACATGTTGTTGAAAATGAAGAATTAGTGACTTTTTTTTTTTGTCACGGTTTTTATAAATTGTTTTAAAATTTACAATTAGTAACGTTTTTCTGTAATAAATTTTTCAAATTGTCGTTAAAGTTAAAAATTTGTAACTTTTTTTGTGACGATTTTTTTAAATTATCGCTAAAACTTATAACTAGTGATATTTTTTTATAATGTTTAATGAAAAACGCTATTAATTATTATAAGACTTATTAAACAATAAGTTTATCTTTTAAAACTAGACCTCGTTTAGAAACATACTATTTTAATATTTTTTTAACTTTTTATAAAAGATATGTAAAAAAAAATAAAAAAAATAATATAATAATTTATAATAACATTTCAACTAAAATATGTAATCTACAAATAACGCCTTAGTACTTCTATTTATAATTTATTCTTATTTTTGACGAACCACCTAAGTCATTTTTCAAATTCCTATTACTATCCAATGATTGCCTCGTTCTTACACGCGGTCGGCAGCTTGAACTTCCAAGCCGATCAAGGTTTTCTGGTTCAAAACTCTTCTTGCATTGGAGTGTGCAACCATTATCTCTCCTTCCTTATCTATTGTCTACTTTTTGTTTTTTGTTTTTTTTATTTTGGCTTTTAATTTATTTTAATTTATTTTTATTTATTTCCGTTTTGGACCTTCTTGTTTCAGTTTTTTTATTTTTATTTTTTTAATTTACTCCTAATACTAATTTTTGTTTAAAATATAAAAATATATATCATTAGTGTGAGTTATACATAATTAAATATTTTTAGGTCACATAATTGTCAATATGTTATTTTTGAAATACTTATTCATAAATTCCTCTTCACATACTTATATTCCACTTAGGGATTGTTTGGGGTGTCCTAAATAAGTGCACTTTTTGTCTTTTTAGACTAAAAAGTTGAGATTGAAAATATGAATGTTTGGATTAACGTTTTGACTTTTTATAAAAAAATGTGTATTAAAAAATCGTATAAATTAATATGTAGGAGAAGATTAGTATTGGAAGTTGTGCAGTCGTAATTGTTGACTTTTGGTGAATAGTGATAACTTTTTAACTTTTTTGAGACTTTCCAAACTTGACCTTAATATATTTTATTTTATTTTTATGTTTCAATAAGTCTTATAAGTAACATAATTATCAAAATATTCCTAATAATAATATTCACATTGACCGTGTGAATGTTCCGTGATGTGAACATTCACGCCGTAAATATAAATATTCACATTTTAAAATATGAATGTTTACATTGCTAAATTGTTAATCGTTTAAAAAATATTTATAATTGTAAAATTATGCATAAAATACCTTCAATATGAGAATTAGAATTTGATAGATTAAATTTCTAAATAATAGGACTTATTGAAACATAATAATATATTATGGATTAATTATGATACAAGTACTTGAAAAGTAATTTCCTAATAAATATCCTGTTATTTTTTTAATCTAATTTTAAACATAACTTAGTTTTTGAAATGAATTAAAAAAAAAAAAAACTTGAAACAAATTTCTAAATAATAGGACTTATTGAAACATAATAATATATTATGGATTAATTATGATACAAGTACTTGAAAAGTAATTTCCTAATAAATATCCTGTTATTTTTTTAATCTAATTTTAAACATAACTTAGTTTTTGAAATGAATTAAAAAAAAAAAAAAACTTGAAACAGGCAAAAATAGAAAAATAAACTTTAAAGTCAAAATAAAAAATAACTAAACATAAAAAGGTAAAGAACAATTTATCCTAATCGATTCATAATTACTCCATTAATATTAAATATTATTCAAGCATTAATTAACAATACTATGATAGTTATATTTGTATAGATAAGTATATTTCTATATTAAAAATCATTTATTATTTTATAACTTATTTTTATATAATTTAGTAAATTTCACTACTACACTTTTTTTATATACCAATGCGACTATCATAACATTAATATTCAAATATTAATCAGTACTTAAATAAGTTTAAAAAAAAAAACTAAAAATATTTTCTTGAATTAGTAGGGACCCTGTTTGGCATAATTTATATGATTGTTTATAAATTTTTTTAAAGAAAAATTGTGTCAAAAAAATTGGTGAAACTTATGCTTTTATGAGATAAAAATAACTTAATTAGGCTGAAAAAGTGAATCTTATCCATTACATAATTGTAATGAAAATTGTAAATTACATATTTAATGATTATAAATATAAATTAGTCATTTGAACTTATCATTATTATTTGAAATTAAAAAAAAAAAAAAATCATTACTCACTTATGTGAATTTTTCTCAATCCAAAAACAACATATTAATAGAAAGCATTAAAATAATTTTAATTTCTACATTTTGATTATCAATTATTTACTTGCAACAAACTATAACAAATATCTCAATAAATGAAGTGCAATGCAAAAACACAAAAAAACACAAATACTCGTACCATGTAGGAGTGATTTAGGAGTGAGAATTCTTTAAAGTGATTTTTTATAGAGTGACATTAAACTAATTTTTTTAGTAGTAGAGATTTAATTATACCGAAATTGAAGATATAATAATATTAATTTTATTTGTCAACTCTCAAGCCTAATCTTATCGTTTTATGAAAAATCTATATAAAAGATAATGACTTGTGATTTAGGCGTGAGCCTAATAACTGTGAGTATTTTTATATCTGATTCTGCAATCAATTTCTATATAATTGTACCTGATCGATAACAAACGAAGGTTTGTGTACAGTATCAGGCATGAAAGCAGTGACAAAGACAGCAACAGAGATTTTCTCGGGGAACTTGTCCATGACAAGGGCCAAGTTCATGCCACCAAGACTGTGCCCAACAAGAATCACCTTTTCACCTAGAGGAAGTGATTCCATGAGCTTCATCAACGGCACCGTATAATCGTAAAGAGTGGGAACCTCTTCTATCTTCTTCATGTTGATACCAGAGGCTGCGAGGTCGAGGACAGTGACCTTGTGGCCATGAGACTCGAGCAGTGGTTTGAGCTTGTACCAACACCAAGCTCCATGGCAAGCACCGTGTACCAGAATAAAATGGCTCTGTGTTTGTTGCTTGGCTGCTTCCATATCTTTTTCTTTCTTGGTGATTGTGAGTCTGTGATGGTGGATATTATTCCCTATCTTTGTATATATATATATATAGACAAAAGAGAATTTAAAGTAAAATTGGCAAGTTGATGGTGCATATTGGTCGAGGCAAGTGCACCGATGGCATGTTTGTTTGGATCATTAATGATGGGTTTGAAAATAGAAGGAAAATGTTTGGGACCCCACAACGGAGGATTCCTATGATTTTTACTGATGTATTGATTATTAATGTATTTGAATTTTTTTTTTCTATCCTTGACAGTGACATGAATGGTCCAGATTATTTTGAAAGTTGTAGAGATTGTATTTTGTGAGGGTCTCTATCATTACTGAATAGGAGAATATGTGAGATTTATTAGAAAAATTATTCAATACTCAGGAGCATGTGTAGGTGGTTACTTTAAGGCTGTGTTTGGTTGGAGGATTTGATGAGGGATTTGGAAAGGGAAAGGAAAAAGTTAGGTGAAATGTAAATAAAATATACCTACATTTCACCTAGTTTCATATATCTTTTCTATTTCCCTTTTCAAATCCCTCCCCAAATCCCCCAACTAAACACAGCATAAATGAGTAGTTATTGATTTAAATCATGAGATATCACACCACTTTTGTATTAGAATGTTAAGAAATAAAGAGTTAACTGTCAATTTGTTAATGGAAGAGAAGCATTGCTGCAGGAGCACCGAAAATTAATCGATTTATTGCAGAATAAAAAGATAATCAACCTCTGAATTAGGCATGCCATTCGCAATATACTGCCCAACCTGTTCAGTTCAGTCCAATATCTTTAGAATTTGGAAAAAAATATTTAGTTTATAGAGTCGAATTGAACAAATGATTGAACTCATTTAATTTTTTGACTGAGCTTGAAATAAAGAGTTTTAGTCCAACTCGTCCCGGCTCGGTCCACCCATTTAGAAAATTTTAATTTTAATATTATTTAGTTACAAAAATAAATCAAAAATAATAAAAAAAATATAGAAAATAAATATATATACTTCCTCTCGTAACCTGATATTTGTCCACCTAACTTTGAACCCACTCAATATTCACGGACAATTACCTGACAGTGGAGGTTGGGAAAAATTACTACATGTTAGTGGCAAATTTTCTGAAATTACAACAGTGGTAGATAGTACAAAAAATATTACAAAAAGATATAATAAGGTTTTGTAGAGATTAGAATCACAAAGTTTTATTCTTCACAGTAGTATAGTGTTTTATTTATTCATCTTTCTTTCACTTCGGTTTTTTTGTTGTCTTTTTTTAATTTTAAAAACTCTATTTTCTTACCCATTCGTCTTAATTTTTAGTATATGAACATATATATATATATTGTATTATGACTCTTACATACTTATCACGTAAGATAAATTGTATATTGGTTGAAAATGAAATGATTTTTCATTTTTGTTTTTATTTCTTAGTCACATACTTGTCACATGATTGAATTCTCTTAAAGACTTAAACAATGGAATAAAAGAGGAGAGACATTGACATTTGACTAGAAATGCAGAAAGTTGACTATTATGATTTCATGTGCAGAGAACAAAGTGTGGTTTGACCAAAACTAAAAAGACTTGACTATCATGATTTTATTTGTAGAGACCAAAATAAAATTTAGTACAAATTGTAATTACCCTTATTACTTTATTAGAGTAAACTATAATGGAAATTTTTTTACTTATACGGTGTAATCGTTGAGAGGGACTCGATCAGTAAAAGTACCAACGTATAGACATGGAAGCGAGAGCATGGCCTTGAGCAAACGTATTGATATGAGTTTGCCCAATATGATTAAGCTTTGATTTAGGAAGAGCTAATTTAGCCCTATTTTTTTTTTTGATTTTTTGACTAATTTCGTTTGATTAAATTAGTTCTGTTTACAAAGAACTTTTGACTTTTTTTGGTTTGGATGTGATGTTGTGAGAAAAAAAATTAAAATGCTTATGATTTGAATGTGATATTTTATCTTATTAACTAAATTAACTTATTTTATTTTTTTGGGCTTCTTTAGGCATTTTAGCTCTTTCCAAACAAAACCTAAATCATACAAACATTTGAAAGGTACTAGAAATATGAGACTGATTTGAAATAAAACATTGATAAAAAATAAAAATATTAGGAGTGTCTGCTGTATCTGAAGCACAGCGGGTTGTGCATATGTTGCATCCCTAATCGGTGATAATTTAAATTGTTCATTTTTTAAAAATATATTGTATAGAATATATTTGTAAAAAATTAAAATTAATCGAATATCAGATATCTGTCCAATTTTATAAGCTAAATATTTTTTTAAGAAGGAGGATTCCTTCCAGTTCAAAATCTAGATTGGAGGGAACTGTTTGGATTCGTGGGGCCTATCACCGGCCCTTTTTCGATAATCCAAACGGTTCATTTTGTCGAACACTTCGTTTATTTTATCTACAAAAAAATTAGGTCGATTCGATAATTGCAACTTGTTCAATTTATTATTTTTGTCATAAAAAAATATATATTTATTTTTTTAAAACACAATTGTAGTATTTTTTTTTAGTAAAAAATGTAATAAATTGAACAAGTTATAATTATTAGATCGACCTATTTTTATTTTTTTTGGATGAAATATACAAAATAACCAATAAAATGAATGATTTGAATCATGAAAACGGGATCTGTAGTAAGCTCCACGGGTCCAAACAGTCCACTCCAGTCCAAATCCTCCTTTTAAACAGGCTGAGGGTGTTTTTATTATTATTATTATTGTTATTATTATCAGAAAAGGGGAATATATTAAGCACCAAAATAAATTAAAGGGAATATAACTCATCGGCTGAGAATTTATTTGAGAAGAAGGTTTTTAGCTTTACTTTTTAATTTTTTGACTAAGATTGACTAAATTAACTCCATTTAAGAAGAATTTTTTTAATTTTTTACTTTTTATAAAAAAAAAGTTTTATAAAAAAAATAATTATAATTTAATATAACGTTAACGTTTTATGTTATTAATTTATTTAATTTATTTCATCTTTCTATACTTTTGTCCCAAACCCAATCCACATTAAAACGGCAGCCGCGTTGCTGGGCCATTCATTGCCCTACCCATATAGTCATACCCATAGGCACCGTTTGTTTTAGGAGATATAATGGAGAGAATTGATAGTGAGAGAATTAATAATGAGGGGATTGATAGTGAAGAATTGTTAAATTATTTTTATATAAAATAATAAAAAATATAAAAATATATAAAAAATTAAACATTATATTTAAAAAAAAATTCTCAATATATAAAAAATAAAAAAATTTCTAATCCCCTTACTATTTTCTAATACCATCTCTACCTCCTCCTTACCAATTTTCCTTCCAAGGGTATTAGTAATACCAAGGGACTAATAGTCCCAAGGCTATCTCTGCAAACAAACAAGGGCATTAGTAATACCTTGGTATTACTAATCCCAATACCCTCCCTATAGCCTAAAACAAACAGGGTATATAGTCAACTCAACTGTCTCTCTCCCTCTCCTTTTCTTCAAACGCGCAGTCTCCGCACCACACCTTACGGCGGTTGGAATAACCGACTGGGCTTGTAATTGGCCGATCAGGGCTGGTGCTGTTACGATAAGACTGCAACGTTTAGTTTTTTTTAAAGGAAAAATGCTTAGGAACACTAAAAAAGTGAGCATTAAGAGAAGCACTAATGATGTGTTAGTGGGTCCTGCTCACTTTCTATGCCTTTTTTTTGTTTTGTTTTTTTATTTTTTTTTTGTCATTCCCAATACATTAGTGCTATTAGTGATGTACTTTTTAGTGGTCTAAATCATTGTTGTTTTTAAAATTGCATCACTTTATAGCTTAAAACAAAATAAAAAAATAAAATTTCATCACTTTACATTTTTTTTTAAATTAAAAATTTAGAATTTATTCACCTAAAAAAGAAAACTAGAATTGCAAATTAGCTTGGGAATGAAGCAGATTGGAAGTAATAATTTGAAAATACCTGTTTTGTAAGCTAGTAGAGAGAGAGAGAGAGAGAGAGAGAGAGAGATCTCATAAGTTACTTGGAAGGTGTGTTGGCCTTTCTGAGAGAGAGAGAGAAAGAGAGAGAGACAGATCATAAACTACTTGGAAGGTGTGTTGGCCTTTCTGAGAGAGAGAGAGAGAGAGAGAAAGAGAGAGAGAGACAGATCATACTTTCTGCTCTTCCTGTTTTAACCCTCAGAATGTTAGTTATGGACTGTGGCGGTTGCAAACGGGCAGTGGCGTGTGTTTGGCACCACATACCACACGGTAATCCACTCCTCAATCCTCCGTTATGTTTGATTTATAAATTTAAAAATAAAAATTAAAATAAAAAGGATGTGTAGAAAGTATTAAGCTCTATTTGGTGGAATTTTTAAAATATAATTTCATATTTATTTTTGAGTGTGGTGTTTATTTAGTATTTTTAAAAATTAATTTTACGTTTGTTTTTGAAAACTCTTTCTAAGGTAGGAAAATGTGGATTAACCGGTCGTCTGACCGGTTAACCGGAACAGTATTCAGTTTTTTTTTTCTCACCTATTATTTTATATTACAAAAAAAAAATTTGTGATTTTTTTAAAAAAAAATTTGTATGAGCTTTGAATAGAATTTTGGGTTATATGTTTAGTTATGAGTTGTAAGTTTTTGTATTAAATATCATATGTCAGATCACTTAATTTGAAACTTTTTTCAAAACTCATAATCAAACAAAATTTTCACACTCAAATTATAATTCCAAAACTCACAAACTCAAAATACAACTCTATTATCAAATTATAATTCTAAAACTCTACCAAATATTATCTTAAGACTTGGAAGCTGTGTTTGATTCATAAATTTAAAGAGAAATTCAAAAAAAAAAAAAAAAACAAACAAAAAAGATCTAGGCTGTGTTTGGAACGATTTCCAAACGTTGATTCTACCTCCATGTTCCAATATGATGTTTGGATAGAGTTTTGGAACTAATTTTCCACAACTCTGCAGAAAACTCTGTGTGTGAGGTGCTATTTAAATTTTTTTTTTTTAAATTTGGCCTAACCAGTCGTCCCACCGGACGTCCCACCGGATGTCCCACGGGTCGTCTGGCCTGTTGATCGGAACAGTAAATTATT